CACTTTTATGTATTTAGATGTCTTTAATGCCTCTGATCTAGAGTTTACTCTTCTATAGAACCAGTACATTTCAGTTTCTGATACCAGAACCACTTCTGTCTGTCTGCACCTCACAGAGCTGTATAGAGTTTGGGCAGGTTTTAGAACGATGCCCCTCAGCACCGTTAACATGATATTTTCCTCTCATTGAGGTTCATAGATTCTGTTTAATATCCGGAATCCTGACTGGCTTTTCATGGAGCTTCATAAACTCTGTTTTAAAGCCTCCTTTATAAAGTTAAACTGGAGAAATGCTCTGTGTCAAGATACTAACCTGATTTTATTCAATAATAGTCTGATATAGGAAAACATCAAAGCATTTTTCTCTCCCTGATTTAATGTGGTTTCAAAGCTGAGAACTATAAAAGCTTAAGCTATATTATTGTATATTCTTTCATTATTTAATTTTTTTTGGCACCAAAACTTTCTTAAATCAGAGCTTTAAACTGAATCTCTGTTTGATTAAAAGTCTGTAGGCTCTATAGAAGCGTTTAAACCGCAAAGGCTCAGCTGCAGGAACCATTTAAAGCTCATTTCCACGGTAACGTTCCTCCTGCTGGAAACGTCTTTTCCAAGAAATCCAAGTCGATTCATGTTGTTGTTACTCAGAACTGATTGCCTAATAAATGAGCCAAAGTTTCTGGAATGTGTTAAAGAATAATCCAGTTTGCATCAGGGATAAAAGTAGCTTCATTTTCCGGATATAGACCAATAATATAATCCATAATTAACAGCTTCTCCAATTAGATTGTTTGAGAATTATTTAAAGTATTCAAATGAATATTCAGGAATGACTAATATTTGATTCATTGAAACTGAAAATGCATCATGCATCAGAGCAGTCTGACCCCAGTATGTCCCAGCATGCACTGCGACCAATGGAGCGCTCACAGAGCTCAGAGCATTAAAAGTTCTCTTTTCTGTTGCCGTTGTTCAATAAAAGTACGTTTTTAGATCATTTTACAGGCAATCCGCGGGTCATTAAAAATCATTAAGTCATTAAGTCATCATTTTTTAATTGAAGGCCTTAAATGGCATTAAAATTCATTAAACGTGATTATCTTGATATGTAAATTGCTTTCATTTAAAAAAATGTTTATAAAAAGAATTTTGTGAGATATATATCGCAATATATTTGCGTGGAACTGCTTCTGGTTGATCGTAAAGCCGTATGTTCAGAAAAGAAGCTAGAGGCGGAGAAAAGGCTGGAGAATGGGGGGAAAAATGCTAATATCAACAAAAGTGGAAACCAGGAATTATCGACATGGCTGCAGCCTGACGATGTATACACACACACGGTAGATAACATCATTATACTTTAAAGCGTCACTATATGGCCCATTTACTGATTTAATGCGTAATAAAAAAAAAAAAAGTTCTGACGTTGAGAGGAGCGTGGCAACCAGCAGACCTCTGAGGCTAACCGCAGCCAGGGCTAACGTTAGCCCGTCGTCGGCGGCCCTCTCTCTGCATAGCCGTTTGTGAAGGACCGCTGGCTCTAATGGAGATTTGTTTGTTTTTATTTGGCAAAATGTTAATTTGATTTGTGTTTATCTGACTGTGTTCATTATTATTCCTCCACTAAATGAAAAAATTATTTATTATTATCTAGAGACTATTAATAACAGGAGGTGAAATGTAGCTCCAGACTAGCAGAGCATGTGGTGATGTCACTAGTTCACCTCTGTTCCAGTTGACCCAGATTTATTCTGCGAAAGTCCAGGCTTTCCTGGGTTCTTCTGAAGAACAGACTTGGCGAGGACACGAGTCTGTACTCGCGTTCTTGTGAATTGAGAAACGGCCGGTGACTCAGGCTGATCAAACCTACAGAACTGGAAAAGATCAGCAGTTATTTTAACTTCTGATTAAAAACCAAGCTTTTGTGTTATAACACTTTCATCCATGACATGAGGATCATACATACATATCCCTCTAAGACTCCCTGATTATGTCATGACAATCCACAACTTTATTTAAAAAGATAAACTAAAATGTTGAACTATTGAAAGGAAATGCTGAAAATAAAACTAAATATTTACATTTTAATTAGATGGAGGAACATGAGAGGGAAACGTCCAAACAAGGTCTCTGATCCTTTTTATCTGGGTCTTTTTCCAAAGCTCTACATCTTTATTCTGGATCTATTAAAGAGATAAAAATGGAAAAGCTTGCTGCACGAATAATGAGCTGAAAATGAGACAGAGGCGTTCACACTGGCTGCTGGTGTTCAGCTACATACAGTTAGAGGAGCTGCTAAGCTCTGCTGGTGGAGCAGTTCGTCACATCAGTCGCTGCTAGCTCTCATCGGTTAGCTTGCGCTGAAGTCTGGGGCATAAAGTAGCACAGATATGAAGGAGGCAGCAGTTTCTGCCTCCAAGTCTTTCTCTGGTCTGCAGGACCCGACCGTTCCGGCTTAGTTTAACCCCTGAATCTTCTCCAAAGGGAACAGACAGGCAGGATTCCTGTGATAAACTGACCTTCTTTAAAAAGGTCGATATCTATATGTAATGTACAAAGTAACTGATTTCATGTGTGGTTTCACAGGACTGAGCCACTATAAGAATCGTATTGACAAGCAGAGGACTGCGGACGTCAGCGTGGGCGGGAACAGCAGCACCAGCAGCAGCAGCGCCGTACTGAGCATGCCCAGACTGGACAACCAGGGCGGCTGCAAGACGGAGCGGCTGCACGCCCTCTCCTCTCCGTTTGGGCCCTACGACAAGAACTACAGCCGCAAGAGATTAAGAGAGCACTCACTGGAGAGGGCTGACAGTGAGTTCCTGACCACACGCACACCAAAGCATTTCAGGGTACAAACGCACCCGCTACATCCGTGCTTCTTCTCTCCAGCAGCTTCCCCGAAACTTTTCCTGGACACGGGCAGCCCCTGCACAACACTGGCCAACATGCACTCGTCGCTTCACAGCCCTCTGACGCGCCAGCTGTCCACGTCGTCCGATACGTCGACACAGCTCGGCGCCGGCAGCCAGAGCCTCCCCAGCACACCGGTAACGACGCCCCACAACACGGCCCAGACTTTAACCGCTTCTGTTCAGTGGCTCCTTAAACTAACCTTCACAATGTGTCAGAAGCCGATGAACAGGAACAGAAAACCATTCCTGGTCTTTTCCAGTTGGTCCGACACTCCCAACTTTAAAAATCTCCTTTGCCTTCATTTTTTAATAAAAAAAATAAACTGCTAACCCGCCTTCATCTCCAGGACCTTGATGTGACACCAGGAAGCTGAGGTTTGGATTTTATCACTGAGCTGGAATCATGTGACTGTTTGAAACTTTCAGAATCTAAAATGAATTTTTTGTTTGGGGAAATTATTTGTGGTTAATTATAGATCAGCTGCTTTGCTCTGGCAGACTAAGCTTGTTCCTACGTTTCCGTCTCCTCCGGTCTGTCAGTCGTCAGTGTTGATTCTGTGATTTTAAATTGGAGGTCAAAGGTTGAGGTCTTTATGACCATTGTTCCCATCCATGCTGTCAGCAGTAACCGCTTCTGTAGAACAAACAACG